TTCTGCAATAAATCAAAAGTGCATTGGAAGATTGTTTTGTGGTCACCTACAAACCGCCACTTTAACAAGCTCAAAAGCAGTATTATGTCACCGTATATATATTCTGGAGAATGTTCTAAATGTTCTGGAAGTGACGACGTTTTAACCGTCCGGTTAATTTGATTAATTTCCAGATCGTAGAGTAAGTCATTACAAGAAGGGAATATCATTTGCATCTAAAATCTCAGCGGCTGTATTGGTTCTTACTCTTCCATGCCGATTTCGCAATTGTATGAGAAATAGCGATTGTTGCATCAATTAACCCTTCTTTATAGTCGTCCAATCAATTATCTTCAATATAATCCATCAGTGATGTTGTAGTTCAACAGAGGGGACGGGGTGCGAGTTGGTGGGCCAGTTTCTGAAATATTTCCTTAACATATGTATCTATATTGCAGATGTGACATAAACATTATTACAATGAAAATAAAACCAAACTCTTATGTGTTGAGACGCCTCCGAATGCCAATATTGCCCTGACTTCGAAATCTGTCAGAATTGAATTGGATTTAGATGGGAAGGGGAGCACTGCTGGTTGAAACCCTGTGGATGATAAAGAGTTGTTGGAAATACGGTGGTACTATTTATGATGTCGCGTTGCCCTGCCAAACTTTGCTTGTGATGCGTTGGACTTGGACATGTTTAATGTTGTACCTTACGCGAATAAGGTTGTGTCTTACTCGATCACAGCTCATATTATATTAATGACCGCTTGGATATTTCAGTTTTGATGTTCTGCAACGTGGGTATGAATACTGCAGATGATATCCATTCTTTCAATTATAGGTGCAATGAATTCACACGACAAACAGAGTTATTTCCAAAGTTCAGACACCCATATTAATTCTTCAACATCCCTCTCGTTGAAGACCCAGATTCAGTTATCTTTAACGACTTGTTTACATTTTTGGGTCAGCACGTAACGGACCGCCAAAAATAATAAGTTACGTACTTTACACTAGCATGGCTAAGTTAAAGATGGGTTCCCTTATTTTCATTCATGAAAATGGAAATGCTAATACTTATATGAATAGAGAGTAGAGGTGATCTAAAAACTTGGAAAAATACTAGTTTGTCTCACATTTCAATGATTAATGCATAATTAGTTAAATTAGAGGAGAATTACCAGTAGAATTCTAATGAGTGACCGATCAAGAAAGGTCAAAAAGTCTTTTTTTGTTTATCCAGACTGTACCTACGTGGACATTTATGATTGGTTAAAACTCTTAATTATATGAATTAAGAACATATGATGATCAAGAATACATAATAATTAGAAACACCAATTAATTGAATAGTTTGCTTAAGTTGACACTAAAATATAAGGAAACCCTCTTTAAACTAACTACTAAAATGTAAACTGGTCAAAAGGACCACAACATGAAGTTAAATTCATTTATCATGTAGGAAGCTCAATTCATTTTTATTCATTGAGTTATTGATTTTTATATTATTTCCATTTTTATTCATATTAAATGTCAAAATAATATGAAACAGTCGTAGATTCATAATATCTGCTTATCAGCTGATTGACCTAATTTTCGGCTAGTCGGGGCGGTAAAATATCTTGGTTGTCATATGCAAAGAAGCCCATTTGTTGTTGCGTCTTATTTAACCGTGGCAAATTATTAACTGTGAATTGACTGGCAGGCGTAAGCCAGGGATAAATATGTTACCGCTTGCAATATATATTCATAGTGCAAGGCAGAACAATTTTATAACCATATATGAAGAACAAACTTAATATGATCTTCCCGACCTAAATTGAATTTTCATAGCTGCTTAATATACATAAATTCATATGCAATGTATAGCAAAGTTTACAAATTACTATTACTACGAACGTCCGTCCATCCGTCATGGTATCTTTGTCGTATGTCGGACCCATGGACCTTTGGGTTTAGCAACCATCTCATTGAGTGAACGCGACCATATTAAACTATCTATCTTCAGTTTCAATTGTATTCACGGAATGAAGTAATAGTTTTACTCAGGAGACAATTCCCCTCATCATTTATTGTCACAAACTTCCCTTCCACAGAAATTAGTTGTCAATTTAACAGAAATTTGAACAAACAACATGTCAATAAAAGTGTTTACGTCATCACGTCGGTTGTTTCGCAATCTGGATTTCATTCAAGCATTAACTGAAGTTCTCTCTTCAAATCTTTGTGAAACAGTAAAGTTTATTGTTCGTTTTATGGTAAACTATATACTTTTGACGTGATTGGAATACCCGACCTTCATGCACATCTTCTCATATACGCAATAAGCAAAATCTGAAACGGAAGGAAACGATCATCTGCCTATGATGTGACTAGGTTATAACAGCTATAACGACTCAACCATCTCATCGATAAGGATTAATGTATGTGAAATAACGTGACCTTTTGTTTAATTATGTCAAATTTGTTCCTACAATGATGCTTGAGCATCCGCCCCGACCAATTGTATAGTCTGGAATTCCAACTATATTGCGTGTATTGGCGCTTTTTAACCACATTTCAATGGCATATTTCAATATACAATTAGTCTCAAATTACCTGTTTAAAATAGAAGCACTTCAAGGGGCAGTATGCAAAATATTCATTCATATTCATCAAAAACGTCGTTAATTATACCTGAAAATATTTCTAAATTATGCTATTTATATCTATGTATCCACTTCATAAATTTAAGTTGGATTTAAAAGTGTTAATTGAAAACGGAGAGTACTAATTGTTAATTTGGCTTTATAATGGCTCGATATCATTAATGGAAAACTTTTAATACGTAGGAGACACATTTATCTACAATTAGGCGTTTATTTTTACTTAAATCCGTAAAGTAGTTTTTCAACAGCTTTCAAAGATAGATTGCCAGGTACGGTAATATACGCCCACTGGCAGCTTTAAATAAAAATAATTGGCAGTACACTAACAATCACCAGTATGAAATATATACATTTAAGTCATACACTTCTTCTTAACTTTTTGGGCCGGTACTGAACAATAACACCAAGTTTTGTAAATTTGGCAAGAATCCTGCCTTTTAGTGTTTACGAACTAAAATTGAATGCGTTTTCAAGACCAAGGTCAATAACTCATAACGTGTTCATCCTTAGGTCATTTCAAACACTGACACCAAGTTCCGCCAAAATCTGTCAAGAATTGTGCCTTCTTGAATTTTTACGTGCTACAAATTTAACGTGTTTTAAAAAACCCGACTACATATTTTTATGATTTTCAATAGGGTTCATACATTGGCGATTACAAGCACTCATACTATGTTTCGTTAAAATCCGTCGAGAATTGTTCCTACTAGAGTGTTTACAAGCAATTGTGGACGGACAGACATGGTGGACGAAAATATACGCCCTCCATATCATGTCAAAATAATTGATGTTAAAAACTTTCAGATATGTCAAGGCCAGTGCGCACTGAACAAAATCAATAGAAATCTGGCATATTTGAACGAAAGTGTGAGAGTGATTGTCCGTCGTGACCTATTCATAAGATCAACCAAAAGAATTAAAAATACGTTTCACGTGCTAACTTTCTCACGATGTCTTGTTTGGTTTACTCAGTTCTGGCATTACTGTATTGTATGAACCAAGGAGTATACTCCAAGGTATGAACCCTGGACATCAGGCCTCAAGTTCCAATGTCTTGCTCATGTTCATGTATCGTGACGTCTCCTGTATCTTACATATCGTCGCTGTGCTTTCAAAATGTCGTATGTCGTCATATAGGGGATAATAAAAATTATACAGGAAGAAAAAAAACTGAAGTTTTTCACCAATTCTTTGGAAATTATCGTATCTTTAAATATTTTCGTATATAAGTCATTAAATTAGTCTGGAATTGATCAGTACCACAAAAAGATCTGCCGCCTAAACTGTGACGTCATAAGGCAATATACGAAATTTTAACATCAAACTATTGATTTTTCTTGGGCGTAAATTGGATATACGATTTTTTGATGAATGTAATAAGGCTTAAATTCAATCATATTACAGTCTTTATTTTCAAAAGAAATACTGTATCAGTAAACACAAAAAAGGAAACCGGTTATCTAATTGATACCTCTAAACCTATATACAGAAATTACGAAATATATGGTTTCTAGAATGGCCTAAAAATTAACTAATCTGTAATAAATGACTCTTATGCCTCACACGAATGTTCATGATGTAAATTGTCATAAAATGGGTGATAATCAGGTGGTATTACTTTCTTAACTTCTTGAAGATGATTGAACTTAATTGATTTGATTTTTAAAGGCTCTATATAAAGATTGTTTAATATTATCGGATCATCAACAGTAGGAGAGCATTTCTTATTCAGTCTTGGAAGATCTTCGAACTCATCGGAAAACTTCAATTTGTATTGTATAGTGCCATCCTTGTATGATAAAACATGAATATCCGTCACAACAGGATCGCCAACACGAGTACCTGGTCGAATAGATGTGTACAACCCTAGCAAATTATAGTTTATGAAAAAATCAAATGTAAGATACTTCAATTTATAGGGAGGATTTACTCGAGCTGTTCGGATTTTATCAACGTAATTCTGGGGTATATAAATGTGTTTTCCGCGTAGTCTTCTCTCGATCGTGCTATGAACAGTCACACTCCATCTGTGTGTGGCCCTTTTCGAGATACTTTTGGGTGATCTTTATTCCCTTTTCTGTTGCAAGTTTCAGTAACATATTTGATAATATTGTGTTTCTGTTTTGAAATGTACATCCGTCGCTGAAGATGATGAGTTATCTAATGTTCGGATCCAAACCAAGAATGTAGTCAGCTAAACAAGACGCAAACGTACTACCATTCAAATCACAAATACCTTCATGCCAAAAGTAATTCATTGCTTCCTTAGTTACCAAATCAAAAATTGTGTAATTATGGCACCCCAATTTGGTTTTGTAATACATCGAGCTAGCAGTGAGTAATGGGCATAACAGGAGGGACTGCAAATCTAAAGAAACGACTTTAACTGAGCCATCAGTTCAGCCCGAAGCTTATCACGAATCTTCTCATTTCGGGCATCTATTTTGCGGGCAATATGAAGGTTGTATTCCTCTTCTGAAATGTTACCCACTTCAAAACCAGAACATATATCGCACTTATCTTTTTTAGGACGATGTATTGCCAGACTCATGTCATCAAATAGGGAACGGAACGCCTTTCGACGTAAAAATGGCTTATTTTCTTGCTTGCAATCATCAACATACACTTTGAACAGCTCAGAGAAGGTGGTAAATATTGGTTCTAGGTAACTCTTCTTAGACGTAGAACGACAATAATGCGATGGTAATTTAGGTAGATCCTGTAAAAAATGTTTCGCTTTGTTGACTTTATTAACCTGTATTGTCGATTCTCGTGGTGTGTTAGGTGAATCTGGGTTTGTGACCTGTACGTCGGCATTGGTTGGTGTGTTAATTTTCAAGCCGTCAATGTTCCGTGCAATCTTTTGTTGTAACTGAGTGAGAAATAGTAGGACTGAATGATAGATACCACTGGAACGTTACCAATTTCCTCTTAAGACTATTCAATAAGTCTTCACCAATCCTTAATAAAAAGTACTTCCTGTTTATGTCAGCATTGTGGATAAGACAGATTGATACTATAATGAAACTTGTTTCTCGATAATTTGAACTCACGAAATGTTGTAGAAAGTATGATAAATTTAATGATAGTTTTAGTTTCTCCTTTATCAGCCATATACTTTTGTAGAAAATATGATCGTGGGTCGGGTCCCTCATATTCATTTTTGAAGACTATAAAATCACTGCTCTCATTCTATTGCTATTTAATTGTTAAAGTTCTACAAATATAAAATGGATCATAAATATAATAAACCCCTCGCAATATAGGGGAAAAAATTGTAAACCGTCAGGAAGTCCTAAATGAAATATATAGCATTAGACTTAATTCCAAGTTTTCTACTGGAAAATTTTAAAAAATAATCATGTATGAAATTCGGTATCAAAACAATTTTTGCATCAGTTTTGGTCAAAACCTAAATGGGCTAATAATATGGTACGTCGTAGATGTAATTGTGAACAAAGTAATATGGCTGACATTACTGAATCCATAAAATATGCTCCAACCAGCCAGTCGAAAAAAACAGAAACGTTAAAGAGTTGCGATTTAAATAATAATGATTCCATAATCTTAGCCGATCCTTTCGATTTGGTTCTTCTGAAGAAAAAACTACTTTCTGCTGTCACTGTTTCAAAGATCAGTGATATTTTTCTGGCTTTGTAATTGAGTAAGATATTAAGAAAGACGTTAAATAGTCATCTATCAACCGACCTATGAAGGACGTCATTGTTTTTTCTTCTCTTCCTACTAGGAAGCCAAACACTTCAAATTACGCCATTTTATTATCACCCTACATCACGCCATGAATTGACTTGACTTTGATTTAGACTTTAAAGGAATACTACCTCAAAGAATGGACATGAAATTTAAAGTCTCAAAACTTATTGAACAAGTGTAAAATCATCAGTTTTACTTACCAGGTTACATGACTAAAGAATAGAATCTCTATATAACAAGATATATCAATTACTAAGTAATTATTGAAAAATAATTCTAATCGTTTTCCTAAAGTACTTAGTTTAATGGATTATTTCTCATTTTAATGGATATATTGGACTATAGAGGGATTCTGTCGTATAGGTTTAACGACTGGTAAGTCCAATGATTAACAAAGACTCATTTTGGCCAAGTTTACAAATTTACATTTTTTAGCCATTGTAAGATGTATTACCCTTTAAAATAAATAAAAGATAAACAACAATGAACCTCTAGGATGCTTTCATGATATCGTTAGTCATCTCAAATTCCAAGTCCGAATATGTATGTATCGAAGTGTACCGATGCATTTGGAAGAATCAAAATTCCACCTAAAATCAATATTTCATAAAAAAAAAAATATCCATTAAGTCGGATATGTGAGCAGACACCAACAGATTACAGGTCCAAAGTTCGTCTGACGTGATGGATAGTTTTAAACATTATTACTGGATAATGTTATAGAATGTCAAGTTACGTGATTTAACCTGTGAATTAATGGAGCAAAGTTTGAAATATAATAATTTAACAATTTAATATTATGATAAATGAACATATCTTTAAATTGTAGATTTGAGTATAGCTCGACTGACGTATGGTCGTACTCGACACACGCCCAAACGAAATAAAAATTAATTTTTTCTTTATTAAATAAAAATTAATATTACTTTTTAAACTCTCACTTGGAAACTTGGTCGAATTTGAATATTTATTTAATTAATTAATTATTTAATATTTAATATTTATTAAATGATTAAGATTATTATTATGAGTAATTACCCTCGAAGTAAAAACGTGCAAATGTGGATTTTAGGTACTAAAGTTTACATATTTACCATTATCGGATACAATTTGTAATCCTGTGAAGCCGAACTTGACTGAAATCTCAGCAACATATAAAAGCATACCAAGTTTTTTCAAGATCGGATAAAGATTGTAGTCTCTCTAGTGCCTACAAGCACACTTTGGCGCATTTTTACTAAGTCAAGGGCAATAACTCCGAAACCTTTCCTCCGATTATTACCAATTTCCAATCTGACTGAGATTTCATCAATATATACATGCATACCAAGTTTCAGTAAGATCGGATAAAAATTGTAAACTCTACTTTGCCTACAAGCCAAATTTGACACGTTTTTCATGTCATGTCATGTCAAACGAATAAATAAAATTCATGTTTCTAACCGGATCAGTTGACAGAACTATCCAAATCTTTACTTTTATCGCTTTATCATATTCATTAATATAATTTTTAAACGCCCACTTGGAAACATGGTCGAATTCAAATTTGACATTTATAGGATGAACGAATTATGAGTAATCACACGCGCAATTAAAAAAACGTGCAAATTTGGATTTTCAGTTTTCATATTTATTTGATAAAATTGCATTGATGAGATGTCCGTCTAGTTTCGCGCTCAGGTTAACCAAATCGATGATGCTTTAAGTCATAATTTAGCATCAGTTGGCAAACATAATTGCATTTGATTTAGTCTTTACGTCTTTGAATCTTAGAGAAATGCAAAAATCACATGGAACGTGTTGGGTCTTGCAATGTCCAAGTCCTGAATAATTAAATTTTAACTATTTTCGGTCTTGTCAATGTTTTTTTTCGATCGTAATGCAACTTAAAGGGACAATTTCTTTTTTTTTCGGGGGGGGGGGGGGGGGGGGGGATTGAGTCTTGAATATATGTAAATAGTCTTCTAGCACTAGAAATGTTCGAAAAACGCATAATTCCCTCAAAAATATCTCGGAACTATTCCTATTTCTGTAGATATTTTTCTATATATGGCAGTGTCTCAAGAAAAGACCGTGAAGAGTCGTGAACACTATTACGGATTTGTTTAGCTAAGAAATTCCCGTTTCTCAGACTAAGGTACGCTTTGTCAAAAGAATGGCGATTCAAGTCAATTGAATGTTTTATGCTACAAACATCACTATCTTGTAAAAGTTTTTGGAATTAAATGAAGCTGAAAATCGGAAATCGGAATGATGCAAAATAGAAAAAAACAGGTGTTCTCGTACATTCTTCGGCTAGAAACGGTCTTTTAAAACTATTAGACCTTGCTGTAAGCTACCACTCATTTTCCGAATCAGAGATTTTTGCCATATGAAAGATTTTAATGATTTCCTTTCAACATAAATGTCAGGAGTTTTTAAACTAACAGAATTTGACACTGATGTGATTGGAATTGTCGAGAACAAATTATCTTTAGTAGCGCATATTTACCATTTATGCGAAATTTCTAAAAAATATGAGATTTGTATCGTGGTAAAACCACCTCTGTATAATTTGGCAGCCCGAGTTGAAATGTAACATCAAATTTGATGAGTAATATTTCTGTGTACATCGATTTTGTGTCTAAAACTGCATATAAGTATATATATAAAAAAATGACGTTTCCAAAAGCTGGTTTTGTAATCTACGTATTAATTATCAACCATCATAATCAGATTCCAATTTCCATACATTGGATTAGCTCTCTACGTAATAAACAGACTTAATTGTTAGTCTTCGGTTACATACCGTGGATCTGTAGTAGATGTAAAAAGCAGACTTTATTTTTTGTCTTCAGTTCCATACAGTGAATTTGTAGTCTACATAATAATCAGACATCATGATCAATCTGTAATTCCATACAGTGAATTTGTAGTCTACATAATAATCAGACATCATGATCAATCTGTAATTCCATAAAATGGATTTGTAGTCTACATAACAATCAGACATCATGATCAATCTGTAATTCCATACAGTGGATTTGTAGTCTACGTAATAATCAGACATTATGATCAATCTGTAATTCCATAAAAAGGATTTGTAGTCTACGTAATAATCAGACATCATGATCAATCTGTAATTCCATACAGTGGATTTGTAGTCTACGTAATAATCAGACATCATGATCAATCTGTAATTCCATACAGTGAATTTGTAGTCTACATAATAATCAGACATCATGATCAATCTGTAATTCCATAAAATGGATTTGTAGTCTACATAACAATCAGACATCATGATCAATCTGTAATTCCATACAGTGGATTTGTAGTCTACGTAATAATCAGACATCATGATCAATCTGTAATTCCATAAAATGGATTTGTAGTCTACGTAATAATAGGACATCATGATCAATCTGTAATTCCATACAGTGGATTTGTAGTCTACATAATAATCAGACATCATGATCAATCTGTAATTCCATACAGTGGATTTGTAGTCTACGTAATAATCAGACACCATGATCAATCTGTAATTCCATACAGTGGATTTGTAGTCTACGTAATAATCATACATCATGATCAATCTGCAATTCCATACAGTGGATTTGTAGTTTACGTAATAATCAGACATCATGATTAATCTGCAATTCCATACAGTGGATTTGTAGTTTACGTAATAATCAGTCATCATGATCAATCTGTAATTCCATACAGTGGATTTGTAGTCTACATAATAATCAGACATCATGATCAATCTGTAATTCCATACAGTGGATTTGTAGTCTACGTAATAATCAGACATCATGATCAATCTGTAATTCCATACAGTGGATTTGTAGTCTACGTAATAATCAGACATCATGATCAATCTGTAATTCCATACAGTGGATTTGTAGTCTACGTAATAATCAGACATCATGATCAATCTGTAATTCCATACAGTGGATTTGTAGTCTACGTAATAATCATACATCATGATCAATCTGTAATTCCATACAGTGGATTTGTAGTTTACGTAATAATCAGACATCATGATCAATCTGTAATTCCATACAGTGGATTTGTAGTCTACATAATAATCATACATCATGATCAATCTGTAATTCCATACAGTGGATTTGTAGTTTACGTAATAATCAGACATCATGATCAATCTGTAATTCCATACAGTAGATTTGTAGTCTACAAAT